TGCCAGGTAAGGCCCCACCCCCTTACCTGAGAGCATATAAGGCCTGCACGCGACGCTTTGTCATTCGTGTCATTCGCTTCTCGCGATCTCTGCACTTCACAGCTCGGGTTGGATTTATCACTGCTCATCTTCAGGAGCTTCAGGAGGACATATCGTCAAGATCAGCCTCCGCCAGACGTGACAGTCTTTTATTCAGCCCAGAAAAAGCTGTTTTTGCATCCTGAGCCGCCCACGCTCTGTGATTATTTTCACCTGCTCCCCTTTTCCACGGCTGCCCGCCACTGATTTTACTCAGTTTTTCGCCGGCATGTCGCTCTCTAAACCTACTTCTCTCGGGTGCTGCACATCACAGGCCTGCCTGAGAGGCTTTGGAGAACCCGGAAAACTGCAGCCATTGCCTCACGTTGCCTAAAAAGCTCCTTCGGCACCGTCTCAAAGTTGCCGCGACGCAGTGCGTCGAGCTCGGCCTTTCGGACTCAGATGGGGGACACGGTGATGACGACGCGCTACCGGGGGCCTCCCGGGGCGCAACGTCTCTTAACTGGGCTGACCAGCCCAATCCTGTTTTTCCCGAAGAGGACATCTTCGCAGGTAACCTCCCGTTTGCGAGGAGGCCATCCCGCCCTCTAGCGTTCCCCTGGCTAACGCCCCCGCTTTACCCCAGTCTATCCTCCTGGACGTGTGTGAACGAGCGGCCGCTCGCCTCAACATTGAGTGGCCGGCTCCACAGAGCGCCACCGACCAGGAAAGGGACATTTACGACGGGAAACTGCTGGGACCGCCTCCCGGCCCGAGAAAACAATTTAATTTGTAATTTCCCGTCCTCCCAGCGTGCACTAAGCACATGAGACACAATTGAGGCGATCCGCTCGATCTTAGACACGGTCTCACGGGCCTCGAGGTGAAGGATATGGGAGCTCAAGGCATGGGTGATTCCCCTGCCATCGAGCCCTCTGTCGCCAGGCACCTTAACCCCGTCCACGGCGGGCTGCTCGCTCCCCCGAAGCTGGTTTTGCCCAATAAAATGGACCATTTTTCTGCCTCAATTCACCAGGCCACTTACAAATCCTCGGCCTTGGCTGCACACACACACACACACACTCTCTCACACACACACACACGCATGCGCATACACTCTCTCTCTCTCTCTCTCACTCACACTCACTCACACACGCATACACACACTTTAAGTAAAATAAATTGTTTTGATTTTTACTTTTAAGATTGAAATAAATATGTGCCTGCAATCAAGTTGTAGTCACAACTTGTGTGGCATTTCTGCAAATTTATGTGGCATTATTGCAAAAGCAGGCACTTTAAAATACCTCAAACAACAAAAACTAATTCTAACCTTTGAGACAAATACTGTTTTTAATCTATTTTATAATGTTTCAATATATA